CCGTCTTGGCGTAGTGCACCAGCATGGCGCTTTTCCAGCGCGCCATCAGTTCGATCTGATACAAGTGCACCCCCTCACTGGCCAGCAGTACTGCACCGCCAGTCCGCAGGGAGTGCCCCCCGAGGAGCTCGTTGCCGTCCGCGTCCACAACCGAAAGGCCAATACGTCGATGCCATTCCTTGATGGTCTCAACGACCGAATCTTTGGACACCGCTTCGCCCTTCAACGATGGAAAGAATGGTAACCCGGGAGGTAGGGCTCCGCACTCATCGCCGAAGGCGTCTCTGAGAAACTCCATCTGTCGTACGGCGGCATGAAACGGGCAGAGCCATATCGTGTTGGCGTCGCAGAGGCATCGCCACTCCCGAGTAGTGGTAAGAGCGGCGCTGTCCGTCTTGGAAGAGGGCAGTAGCCAGGTCACCACTTTCGCGGCAAAGTTCAAAGTAACTCTGGAGGCCAGAGAAAGGCTCAGCTCGATCTCGCGCAAGATGAAGAAAACACCGAGGACCGCCAGATTCCAAGCCCCCATGGGGCCACCCCGAACGATTGGATCCGGCGAGCTGAGCTGTTCACTGGGCAGCTCAGCGACCTTCTCCACTTGTAGCGGTTCAGACTGCCGGCTGGGTCCCAGCCCCCTTCGCACGCTGCGCTTGACTTCTCTAGCCTCTTGATCCAGAAGTATAGGCCAGCTCCCGGTAAGTCTGATGTGATGCAGCTTCGCCTTGGTCAGGTAGTTGGGAAAGCTGCGGTAGCCGCGTGCCTTGAAAACAGCGCCCACAGCCCTCAGCTTCTCACCTGTGAGGGGGAAAGCGGGCTCAGCGTCGGCCCCAAACCAGCTCTCGTGAACAGATTGCCACGTTCTAAGCAGAGCCGCATTGGGGCCCCTAGCAGAAGCAGCCTCCATATCAGATAGCAGATTATCCATGGCGACACGCTTGTCATGCTCCGATATTTTCCCCCCGGTCCACTTTTGAGCGCCTCTGCTGAAGCGCGTTGCAGGCGCATCCTGGCGTTTGGCCCATCTAGCAGCGCCTTGCTCAGATACTGCCATTATGTTCGCATCCCCGGACGCGGATGCTGTGCTTACGGACGGCACCTCCGGTTCCGGATCCATCTGAGCAACGCGCTCATTGACCCTGGACAAGTCAACCCTGGGCAGAAAGGGGATACCCCTTTTCCTCTTCATCGAGCCAACTGTGAGCACAGATGCGTTTGAGCAGTTAGCAACCATGCGCAAAGCGAATCAAGGAGCGGACGACATGTTCAGTACATGCAAGCTCACATCAAATCGACATGAAATGCCAAGTGGTGCAACATGTCACGTCCCGGAGGAAATCTCCGAGAATATTCGCAAAAATCGCTCAGCAATGTCACGTCCCGGAGGAAATCTCCGAATATTCGCAAAAATCGCTCAGCAAAGGAATGTATTATCGTATTAAACGGTTCCGAGAAGAACCCCCGCCCCGCAGGCCGGATCATTGATCATTTTTGGGCAGGGTTGCTCCAACGCGCCGTTAGAGAATTTAGGATGCGCGCGCGCGCGCGCCCCCCTCCTCATGCGAGTTTAGGCCCCCTTCAATCCGCTTTGCATGCGGCCGACTCGCATAGAAGAAAATTATGGTCTCTGAGAGGCACTTTCGCCTGGGTTGCCTGCTGAAGCACAGCTGGCAACTTGAAAGTCTTGCCAGGCTGAAAGCGCCTGCTGAGAATGTCAGAGACGATGTTTGATACACCGGGGATGTGCTCGTGCCATCTGGGGCGGTAGCTGCTGCGACTGAAATCAAGAGCCAGCTCTCGTGCAATGCGTCCCAAGCCTCTGGCCTTGGGCTTTGCGTGTAGCTTGATCAACAGGCTAAGTGCCGAGACGCTATCCGACCCTATGTGCAGCTCCACTCCCCGCTTGACCCACTGGGAGCTCCACAACCGTAGAGCGACCAGCAAGGCTAAGGATTCCCAGACTTGTTGTCCGTCAGGGGATCCGCGATCAGCTTCGGCCAGTTCCAAGTCGAAATCGCAGAGGGCGTCAGAGAAGTAGGCGGTTGGTGTGTTGTTCAGCGCCAAAAACCCTCCGATGCCCCATGGGCTCGCATCGGTGACGATCCTCATCTTGACGGCCCTCGCGAAGTAGTGGCTGACCCTGTATTCGCGGATCAAAGTACCAGCCTCGCCCTTGTAGAATGCAAGGAACCACGCGGTGACGTGCGCCCATTGTTTGGTCCAGACGCAGTTTGGCGGCCGTGAGTCCGGGCCGCAGCTGTTGATGACTGCCCAGAGGTCCGTCATGTGTCCACGACCCCCGCAACGTAGTTGGCCTTCCCGACGTACCTCTGAAGATCCCTCACGCTGATGACGTTGACCTTCTGGTGCGCCTTAGTGGTGCGCCTTAGTGAGGTTATGGATCTCCTGCATCAACTCCGCTTTGCCCGTCACGATCACCTTGCCGTCGCCGCCGGCCTTGATGTGATAGCGCACGCCAATCCACGTGAAGTCGGAACCTCGAGACGCTTTACCAAAGGCCAGTGGGATTCGAAGCGACATCCACAAGCAAATCAGGATTGATGCCATACGATCGCGTCGATCTTGTGAGCCCGCCATCAGGAAGCAGGGATCGTCCACGTACACTTGCAACCTTGCCTCGTTCGAGAGAAAGAGGGATTGGCTGAGTCGCCCGATGAGGGCGGCCACGCGGCCGCACACAATTGGTGCGTTTTTGCTCCCTTGGGTTTGAGTCAAAAAGACAATGTATCGAAGGGGTCCCCCGGCTGTCTCGCGGTAGGCAGTGGTGAAGTAGCGACGCTCCCCATGTTGCAGTGGGACAGAGTAAAACCAGTCCCTAAAATCCAGAACCAGAGCTTCAACCACCTCGCCCTTCGCCTGATTCAGGAGATAGAGCGAATCATCCACCAAGTCCGTGGGGCGTGGCAGCTGCACCCTGCCACCCTTATGCGCAAGCAGATTGGGGCGAGATTCCCGACAATCCAGAATAAGCCTGCGTTTAACGGCCCCATCCGGTCTCGTCTTAGTGACCATGGCGAGTTTCGATGTGAGTGGGGGTCCCCCCAGCCACTCTTGGCATGCATCCAGATTGTCAAAGACCTTGACATAGCCCGTGTCTATGAGCCTTTGAATCTCCGGCACCGCCATGGGATCGCCCTCTACGGACTTATAGTTCTCGTGACCAGCGGGATCGTGAAAGTAGCTCTGGCCTTCATCGTCATCCTGGTCTAAGCTGTCCTGAAAGAAGATGCCCGGGTCCTCAATGCCTGCGGGGGATCCGTCTCTCAGCCAGCCCTCGATGAAGTCCGCGTCAGGGTCCCCCGCCATACGGCCCCACGCCCCCAGCATGTCGTGATCCAGACCAAGTTCCTGCTGTTGCCTTTCCACATGCAGCAGGGCCTCAAGCTTACGCCTGATTTCATCAATTTGTCCTGGAAGCGGCATTTTTCTGGGGTCGTCGGAGCCGATGGCCTCAAGGCATTGTTGCTGTAGGTCAGGATGCGATTCCAGGTACCGGTCCAGCGTGTGATAGATGGCCTTGCCGATCCGGTCGTAACCCTCGATGGTCTCCATGGCCTTCCTGGGATGTCTCATGCCACCCAGGAGTTGATCCCCGGCATCCTCGATGGAGTGGTTTTGTTTACCCCTCAGCGCCGGTGCCCAGGATAGGCTGGGAACCACGCCAACGTCCTTGATCTCACTGCTCGGCCGCGTGTGTGGCTCGTCTCTGACGAGCACGTTCTTCCATTTGCCGGTCAGCTTCCAAGGAGTCGCCTCAACGAAATGTTTGTCGTGCGCCCCCTTGAGCTTGCTAGCAAAGTACGCGTTGAGGCCGCCAGGATAAGCAGCAGCCGCCTTGGTGAGATATGGTGCAAATCGAAACTTAGCTCGCCTAGCCTCCGATGACAACATCATGGATGCACGCCACTGGTCCGCTGGAATGTAGGACTCCTTCCCGTTCAATGGTGGATGCGCTGCCTGCTTCCAGGCCCCAGTGCTGGGTAGTCTCCACCACCGTTTGGAATGCCGGCATGTTGTGTGTGCATCCCCCAGATCCACCATGAAGTGTATCAGAGAAGTGGGTTTCTCCGAGGCCGCCCCATAATTGCACTGCGCCACCTTGGTATGTTGAACACCCTTTTGCTCCAGGATGCGCTTGAACTCCGGTAGGTTCAGCATGCTGATGGCGTCACCGTGCTCGGGGCGAGCCGGCTGCTCCAAAATGACGGGCTTGCCCATCTCGTAGAAGAGCAGGAAAATATCAGCCGCTCGGAGAGCTAATAGCGTTCCCAACCGAACGTCCTCCTTCTCTTCCGGGCTCAAACCAGGCCTGCCGTAGATATCCCGGTCACCTGGTAGTCGAAGGGGCCTGGGGCCGTCATCACCCTCCCTGCGAGCATTTGAGAAGGTGTGGCAGGGAGGGCCCAACAAGCCGCCATCATAATATCCTTGTATTATCCGCTGCCTGAGCAGCTGATAAGTGGCATCATCGGCAAGGTCGAAGGCATCGCCGTTCACAATGTCCCAGTCCTCGCAGTCGCATCCCAAGGATTTGAAAGATGCAGCCAGGCCATCTTTGCGACCGGACGGGCCGCTGAACATGTGCAGAAAACGTGGCTTACGATTGCCCTCTGAATTGCACTGCGATGGCAAACTTCCTGACGCAGCCGACGCCTCAATCCGTGCCCCGATTGGGCACTTCACGTGGGCGCCTTCATCCGCGCCCGTGTGGGGGGAGCATTCTCCCCCCCCTCAGGCCTTGCTCTTGCCACCCCCCTTTTTGCCCCCACCTTTTGGTTTAAAGGTGCGGGGCTGCCTAGGGCCGGACTGGGGGCAGGCATGCGCTCCATGATCTTCCGAAAGGCACTTGGCACACTGATGGCGAGTCCTACCAGTCTTGATGCAGAAGCCGTTGCGATCTCGCTCCAAACACTCGCCCTTCTGAAATCCACGGCACAACTCAGCGCCTCGCCTGTTGTGGGTGAGCAGACCGTCCTCGCCAATCAAGTGTTGCCTGACATTGTCCTCGCGCTTACGCTTGGTTGGGTTCGAGTGGGCCGATCCGCTCCCAAGTTCCCCGGCACCTCCACCGGAGCATCCGCGCCCACCAATTGCGAGGTCTTCTGAGTCTTGGCCAGAATGAGCAAGGCCGGCTCCTCAAGCTCACGATGCCAAAACGCGTGGTCCTTGACGATCATGTTCCACACCCACTCCCAAGGGATCTTGGGGTCAAAAGGGTGAGACCCCCCAGCCGCGACGGCGCAATCATGCTCCTCTTTGCCCTGTCGCCTGAGTCTCTCCGCCAGTTCTAGCCTGGCTCGGACATCAGCTTGATATAAGAGAGCCCAGCAACCTCGTCCATATCGCTCGTGGTAGGATCGAATATGGTGCTCATAGCAGTCCAATCTAGCCGGCGATATCTGGCCGAACATGATGCAGCCGGTTCTAAAGACACTGTAGCTCTCGCGCCAGGCCTCGAAGTCCGCCGGGCCGTTGATCTCCACCGGCACAATCTCGCCCTGGGAGTTGAGCCTGATGCCCTTCAGCCTGATCTTCTTGGCCAGGCGGTGATGGTACGGCCCCCAAACTGCCATGTCGGTGTAGGGAGCCCTGCCACTCAGGAACAAGGAATGGAGTGTGGTGAGCTGTTCCGAGCTCAATTCCTGGTCAGGGGGTGGAGCGGCACCGATCTTCTTGCTGTACCTAGCGTAGGCCTCAGTTATGGCCACATCGTCAAGAATGTCCACTTCCATGTCATCGGTCTGATTGATGACCGAACTGAGCTTGACCTTCCTTTTTTGTGGAAGGAGCGGACGCTGACGCAACGGCGACGGGAGCACTCGCAGCGGTGGGCTTAAGACCAACCACAACTCGGCATGTCCTTCCTACCAGCGCGCCCTGTCCAGCCTGACGAGGAGTCGGGTCCTGCAGAACCAATGAGCCAGCTGCCATAGCGGGGACCTTCCATTTCTCTAAGAGCTTAGAGAAGTCATCCTCAGGAATCAAGGCGAACACTCTGGGATGATCACTGCCATCAGAGCCTAGAAGAAAGCATAAAGATCCCGCCAGGGTATCCTTGTCAGCTGGATCGCCAGTCAAACCAGCAAAAGTCATGACATCGGCTAGGGTCTTGAAGGAAGGCCAATCGCCCTCTGGCGGATCAAGAGTCATAATTGCCAGACTGTCAAAAGGCAGCCAGCAGAAATCACCAGACCCCGAGTGCCAGAGCTGACGACATGCCAATGCCACCGTCAAAAATCTACGGGCTCTGCGTCTAGGCCTATGGCCTCAGAGCCTAGATGTTTTGGGTGTCTGCAGTTCCCACCCAACCTCCCGTCAAGAGCACTCGCATGTTACATACACATGAATGTTTCTTCCTACATGGCCCCTGGATAAGGAACAGCCGTGCGAAGCGCCAAGGTCGAGCATCTCGATCGATCGTGCCGCTTCGTGCCGCTCCCCAAGGTGATCATGCACCGAAGCCAATCCCACATTAATGCTACTACTTGTTCGACATCGACTGCCGTGTCACATTTCCTGGCCGCCGAAGACCCGTTACCCCATGCAAAAGCCCTAAGAAGACCGTCTGCTGTACTACTGCCAGCTGAATGGAATAATCATGCCTCAGCATGCGCCAGTCCAACCGTGGGGCGTTTGAACACAATCCAATCCATTCAGAAACCTGCTGTTGACAACCAAGACAACAAGTCCTCCGGACAACTTAGACTTGATCATGCCTAAATAACTTCTTCGGCTGACAATGCCAGCAACATAGTGGTTGCTGCGACATGGCTCAGATCCCAGCGAGCATCACTCGCAGGTCCGGCCTTGACAAAGCAACTTGCACATGCTGTTTTCCTTTACGACGCTGGATCGTGACACCATTGAAGATGCTGGCAAGCTTCTGCAGGTCTCTCCGAAGGAGCCATGTTGTCAGTGTCCTGTTGCAGGGGTGCATACTACCTGTCTACCAGGCTCGGGGTCCGGCAACAAGGGCAGAAGAATATCATGTGAGCTGACAGAATCAAACCGTCTGAGGTCGGCTACAGTCGGGGCTCGAGTATACACAGCATTGTCACTGCGGTTTCATCCGGCCCGCGCTTCCGTGTCTAGAGCAACGCCGTTACTTTCCCGTGCAATGTCAAATCCACCAATGCCCTCCGTTCCCCAATCTCTAACCGAGCCCAACACTTGTCGAGGTCTTCGCACGGCACTGGTCGTGCTGGGCCTTGTTTAGCATGTAGACATATAGCGATAAAGTAACCTGAATCACGGAGCTTGCCACTAAGATGGCTGCGGCATTAGCCCACCGGCAAAGCGTGTCAGTCTGGACCTTGAGCGACTTCAGCTGCCAGCGTACTGCAACATACTCATGTTCCTTCCCTAAATCGTTCAACACTTGGGTTCGTGCCGACCTCGCCGGGCAAGCCTCGCATCCTCCTGGAGTTCGGAAAGGGACCACATCACCGAAGGTTTCAGACATGTCTAACCTTTCCATCTGCCTTCAAGGACTCAATGCGCTGTCGCAACCTGACACAATGCTGTGAAACATCATGCAACAACGACTACCGCCCTGCGCTCTGCTGTAGTTTGTAGGTGTCGAGGCATTTCCAACCGCGCCGCAACGCCATCCAGTTCGGAGACAAACTTCCCCTGCCAGTTCGTTCACCACAACCAATGGCCGTCACCACAACCAATGGCCGAGCGTGCAAATGTGGTCGCAAGTCCTTGCCTCCGGCTCCTGAAGCATTCGCGCTTCACTGTGTGGCTGAACGAACCTGCCACATGCGATCAGCAAATCACTGTCACTACCGCTTGAGCGATTGCATGTGGGCCAAGGAGCCAAGCGACTCTTTCGGGGTGGCACCTTGTCGCTTGCAAGCGAAGCACGCCCTCATTCACACAGCGATTTCCGGGACGACTGCTCAAGCCGCAACCAAATGGAGTTGCCGTCCACCTCTCCTGCATACACCACAACAAGGTGCGCAGCTGCACAGATGAATGTCTTGTCTTAAAAGTACCGTTTTTAGAGGCGACGCTCACCTGCGACGTTTTTTGAGTGTAAATTTGACCAAAAGCCTGCAAAGTCATGACTTCTCCAGCCCTGTATTCACACACTTGTGACTTGTTTTTTGCCACTCTGCTGTCTTGCCTTCCTGCTTGTGCTATTCCTTTGGAGGTAAGGGATCTGGCCCGACTGGTTGTGTTTGGGTTCGCTGGTGGCCCAAACTTTTTGAGCTTGGCCATTGCTTGCCATCAGTCGTAGCCACTCCTAGGGTTGCCGGGTGGATCACTCATTACTTTTTTGTCCATTCCTCTTGGGTTTGGCTAGCCCTTTCAGGCCTCACAAGCGGCCCGTATTTCTGTTGAAATCCATAGGGTTCACTTCTTGCAGGGCTCACGGCTTTTCCACTCCCTGTCTATATAGCCTTCGTGCGTGGCCACATCCGACCATTCTAAACCAAGTTCTCTCCACTTGAAGGATTTTTATTCAGGGTTTGCCATTCCACGGTTCATGATTCCTTGCTTTCCGTCCTGGCAATTCCTGTAAGCGTCATTCGATTTAAGGTTGTCCATTGAATTAATGTTTGTCTTGGACACTCCCATTTGGGGTTTACGAACGGCCACGGTTGGCCATTTCCTGTTGGAATACATAGAGTTCACTGCGGCTCGTTTTTTTTTGGGGGGGTTGGCCATTCCTTTGTTTGGGTACAAATTGTAATGCTCGCAGGAGTACTACCCAGCCAGGCAGCTGAACGGGCAAAGGTCACACATCCGCAAATCACAACTGCGAACTTCAAAAGTCACAGGTAAGGATGCTACCATCCAAAAGGCACGACACCAACATGCCTGCGCCATAGCGAACAATACCATGAGCAGGAAAGAGCGTTGACCGACACAGGGAACATGTGACAATGCCGATGTGCTACTGGACGTTACTTCATACTTGGGATCGAGACTTTGGACGCTATTTTCTGCCAGAGCTGATGCTATTGCTGACTTTTGAGTCCATAAAATCACGGGGGAAAGAGCTGCTATCAAGCGCGCGTCAAGATCTGTGACCTCGGGCTTCTGGTCATCTTTCACCGAAGAGGTGATCTATCTCTTCTAGGTCCTTTCCAGAACTGGCCTCCGAGAGAAAGACACGAAGGAACAAAGATCGATGTCTGTTGTTGTGGAGAACCATCTGCATGCTTGCGGCACTAACTACAGATTTCATTTTCAAGGCTGCCTTTGGCCTTGTTACCTTGTTATCAGCACTGCAACATGCAGCACAAAACTTGTGCAAACCGATGTAAACCTCTGCTGTGTGTCAGCCGAACAAAACCGATGCAACAGGTTCCAGCGTGTGCGAAATGGGACGTCCCTCTGGTCCTGCATCCTGCGCGTAATCGGAACTGGTCCAGGATGTGTCCTGCAAATGCTTGGTGGATCGAGCATATGTGATCCTGCGCCTGAACCCACTTCCCCCCCTACCCGGTGATATTCCCGCCGCCCTTTTGGCGTGGTGCTTCTGGTCTTGCTTGGTGGCTTCTTTGTCTGCCTGAGGGGTGGTGCCTGTCGTGTTTGCGGCGGTTTGTTAGGGTCTATAAGCAAGAAATGCCGGGAACATCGGCCCTTCATCCAACCTTCAAGCCTATATGCTGTCTCTGCTCCGGCATGCAGCCAAACATCTGTAATCGGGGCTAGCAGGCCGGGGCTGAGGATCGTACAATCACTGGCTCCTGAGCGGCATTGCTGCTGATCCGGTCTCGACTCGAATCGTCCTCACGCGCTGTCTGGGACGTGTTTTTCCCCAGGGTGTACAACCTCTTGTCATGAAGGTTCAAGCTCCCGTCCTGAAACAAGCGGGAAAAGTCTTGACAAAGACTCTCGAATTCACGCTGAAGGAGGCGTAGTCGCCTGAGCAAGTCGTTGCTCGTACTGAGTGGAATCTACGTGAAGTCGGCTGCAGGTTGTCTTGGCCTCAGCATGCTTGGAAGCGCTTCCAAGCTTGCAACCTGTGCAAGGCAAACTTGGCGGGTTCAATTCATCCAATTCAGCACATGTGCTTTGGATCTTTAGGTTTAGGATATGTCCAAAATACTGAGATCTACAGCGATCCTTCTGCTTGGGTCGCCGTGCCAAAAACATCGGCATTTCCGGTGTTGCTTCTGCTTCGATGGGGTGGGCTGCTCCAGGCGCTTGATGCGCATGCTCCTCTCTGATCTCGAAACCCTACTACGCATGACGAAGTGTGGGCACAACCGACAGCCGGCACCTCCCAAGTTTGGAATTCGCAGCGCAGCTGCCTACCCAAACGGCTGCTTTCCTTGTAGAGGCCCTGGCACAGGGGAAAAACAGTCCAGTGGCTGCCACGCCGTTTACAACATTGATCGGCTGTTATCCTGGGCTACGAGCCTCTCTCAAGGTCAAGGGCATCTCTCTCTCCTTGGAGCACATGGACATGGAGAACTCATGGAGAAGGCGCGCTCACACGGCCGGGGCTCTGGCGACCTGGTTTCGGGTCGAGTTGGGTCCGGCACTTTCCTCTGCCGCCCTCTCCTTCCATGCATAACGGTGCATCCATGAAACTTTGCGACGCCTGCGCCAAATGCGGCCAAGGGCACATCCGGGCTTTGGAGCCTGAGTGCGGAAGCTTTGCATAGCAATCGGCAGGCTCGGATAGCTCGGCTCGGGAGCGCACCAACCAAAAACATCGAGGTACAGGACACTCCGGAATCGGGTGGGCAGAGCTGCACCGCGTTCAGAGACCTTGGCATCTGAACACAAGAAGTTCGGTTGCTGCAGTTGCCGGAGAGTGCCCCTGGATCTAAAACTGAGGCGACAGCATGCTCGGCTCTGGCAATACATGCGACACACACCTGTGACACTGTGGGCAGAACTGAGCTCAGGGGCCAGGTTGCAGGACGAATCTCAGGGTGGAGTGTGACGAGCGCACGATGAGGCCAGCATGCATCGCAAAGACGACAGCCACAAGAACCTTGAGCGAGAACAGCAGCAGACTCGACTTGGGTGCTGGGGATCTGCGATTTGAGTCGCATCCGGGCTTGGAGCCCCTTAAGCCTTAATGCTTCGATCCCAGTCTGAGGCCATAAATCCGCCCTCAACAAGCATGGAGCGCACAACTTTCTCCAGGACCACTGTGGCTCAGGCAAATTGTGCCACGCGCTGTGGCTCGCTCAAAGAATTCAGTGTAGCCTTCGTCAGCCCGCATCCCCAGCCCGCTAGCCCTAGCCCTAGCACACGGGACGCTTTGCAGGATTCAAAACTCAGCCATGTGGCAGCCACTAGGGCGAGCAAAGGACCTCAAAGAATGCTAGCAACTCGCCGCACCAGTGGATGCACACACTGCCGATCGCCGTCTGAGTTCACAGCCCAGCATGAGAAACAAAGCTCCAAGGACCCTTCTAGTGCTTGAGAAGTACAGATCCAGCCTGCATCTGGGCTTGAATTCGGTCTATGGTTGATCATTGCATGCTCGGATGCGCACTTGATCAAAAGCCATGCCAGCATGGGGAGTACTGTCCTCACGTGGCAGTGAGTCGCAAAACATTGAAGACGATTGTAGGAGCACCATACGCAAGCAGCTCGTGCCGTGCGTAATGAGGCAAGCGTCGCGCAGGCAAGACCAGCCCATGGTGCATGCATCTCAAGGACGAGAAGGCCTCTGGATTCTGAATGCTAGACGATGAGACAAATTTGCTGCATGGCAGGTCGGCCGCGTTTGGAGAAGCCGCTAGGTCCCCTGCCAACTGTGTAGTAAGCCACGGCATGCAACAGCTTGTACGTACCTAGGTCTCCGTTTTTGCCACAAAGACCTGTATGTACACGCCGAGAGATACAGAGAGAGAGAGAGAGAGAGAGAGAGAGAGAGAGCGAGCGAGAGCGAGAACGAGCGAGACATGCATAGTATGTACACCTGTATATCCGAGATCATTGCTTATGCATGAAGATACCGCGCTAGCATGTACGATCTGCTCTATACCGCACCATCCTCGAAGATAAGTCTCCATTCTCTGACTTCGGTCTAGGACTGAGACGTGTTTAAGAGAACTCTGTATCTGGAACTGTTGGATTCATTTTGTTGCTCATGTCGATACGATCCAATGGCTGAAACTTGAAGCAGTCCTAAACTCTCAGGAGTATGACCCTACAACCAACTTTTCAAAGAGGAAAGTTACAAGGCTTGGAACTTGTAGTGGGTGTTTAAGGGTTTCTAGATTTCGGGCATGTTGGCTCTGTTGCATGGGTCTCTGAATTCTGTTGCCTGCAGGGAAGGCCGCTTTGTTTCGTCTCTGCCTCGATCCTCCCGAAGAGTGCCCAAACGAACACGGGAGCATCAAAACTGGAAGCAGTCCGCCCGGCCGTTAACTATGTCCGGCCGTGGGGGCAGTGCAATGTCGGTGCCTTGAGATAATCAATGGCAATCAACTCATGGCTCCCAGCCCAACCCGCCCCGCAGCGATCCCGCAGCAATCCCCGAGCTTGTGCTACCCATGATCTGTGCTGCACTGCGCAGTCCACCTTCTTGGGCATCATACCTCTTGCAAGATCTCGGAACAATGACGTTCACATCTCTTCGCCTTCCGCGACAGTACCAGTAAGACTCTTTCGTTCTTCCGTTGGCCAAGCGAGTCCTGGTCCGCCTGATCCGCAGCGAAGGTGGTCTCGAATTGGGGAGTGTTAGCACGCCTAAGCTTTTGCATGCCTGTGGTGAAAGCTGGGGCAACAATATGCGAAAAACTGCGATGGAACTTAGCGATTCGGAGAAGCAAGGGACCCCGAAGCACACTTTGCGGCCTGCTGCTCCCCTGCATCTGAAGGTATAGGTTCTCTTCCCGCAAAATGCGTAACACCGTAAGGAGGTTCAAGCCTTTCACAATGTTTCTCGAACCAGGACCGCCTGGATAATTACTTTGCTCCGGCATTACCCCTGGTTCGACGCAGACGAGAGCACATGCAACCGCTTCAAACGTCGTTTATCAGGACGGTGTGGAGGACAGGACGACTTGCACATGTTTCAATTACTCGCGTCGACCCCCTAAGAGCTGGACCAAGAGCAAGGCAGGCACGCGCATACGCATCGTGTGCCTGTGGGCTTTGATACATCGGGATAAGGTTTCCGTCTCTCCATAGATTTGGCAACAGGTCCTGCCAGTTGTCCTGCAGGTCGCGATAGAGCCTCAGCCCAACCAAGCCTTGGGTGTGTTGGGAGTCGCCCTGCACCAGGCTCCCTGCCGCACATGTTTAGCAGCCTCAATGCAACCAAAGCAGCATGCTGAAAGCAAGTGCAAGTACTTGCTGTTTTTGTGGCTGCCACCCTCTGATGCAGTGTGCCGCACCTGAGGCTGCTGCTACAGCCGCATTGGCGTTCGGCTGGGACATGGAGACCAAGCCAGCCACCGCAACTCCTGGCCACGAAAACCCATGACACGAATTAAGGCATAAATGTTCAAACGTTGCCTCCTGATGGATCCTGTGGCCGCTGGCTTGGGCCACCTCCACCTTAGTATTGCGAACACTTCTCTGTCATTCTCAGTCAAGGGAAGCGAAGCAAACCTTGTCAAATCCGATCAGATCCGAGTACACCGCTCAAGCGCTCGGCTTGCTGCCGCAGAACGGGCAGACGCAAAAGGTCCTGCACAACGAGAGTCGTAGCTGCACCGTATTGAACGTGACTACCGGCCTCGAAGCCCTTATTTTCGTAGTCCGTAGCCATAGCAGATCCAGCATCGATTTGCCTGTTTGTTTGTGCTCAGGCCCCGAGCAGTATCAATGCAGTCTGAGCAGTGCTGTTAGCAAAGCCGTGAGAAGCCAAGATCTCCAGCTTTTAGTTGCGAGATCACACACGAGAGCAAGGTGATGCCTCCGGCTGGGCAGCGGCAGCCGCACAAATTGCGTTAGCAACCTGTCAAACTTCCAGAAGCTGGAGAGACTCAGGGCGGCGCTCAGCACATTCAATGCCTGGCCTGACGCTGAAGGAATGTGCAGAAACCTCGCAAGTGGAGGTACGGAGTGATATCTGAAAAGCTTTTGAACGAAGCTGATAAACGGCAGCTTCGGAATGGTGCCGTCGCGACACTGCGTGATCAGTTTTGGTCATCTGCTTGCATTGCGGGCAATTGAGCTTCAGGATGAGGCAGTCCAGGAACATGAACGACTACAGACCTCTGCATCATGTCCCCTGACACGAGGGAGTCGCAGGCCCTTTGCTCAAGCCTCTGTCCACCAAGTGTTCCCAAATGCCGTCGCATGCATTTCCGAGAGTGGAACTTGACTCGTCACCAGTCCGAACCGATCTGCTGCTCATGCTGCTCCGATTCTCTCTGCAGTAGGGTTTAGCATAGGGTTTAACTTGTGGAGATTCGCTTTCGCTAGCCGACGGACATATGCCTGTGAATCTCTCACACGCACTTCCGGCGTTGCCGTGATCGACTGCATGCTACTAAAAGTCTACTAAATGCTGACCTGCCGCCGGTTTGTTGTTCGACAGCGTGTGAGCGAACATGATGGCAGCGGTCGTGCCACGTGCCATGCAGGATGCTGAACTCTCATGCCAGAGAACACGAGCATGTATCTTTTCAAAGCTGCGTCCTACACCGCCTGGAACGTGGATCCTCAAGCAAATGCGCCCACTGGAACAGTAGGAGTCGAGCTGATGCGTGGATTGCAAGCCAGGCGCTCAGGAACAGGAACACGAAGGCCTGTCAAAAAACAATCAATTGATACCTGATCTTCTTGATGCACATCTCAAGGCGACGCTGAGTCCAAAGCTTCAGCTAAACCTTAGGAACTCGCAAGCTGCACTTTGCGTCATACATCCAAGCAAAAACTTGCAGCGCAAGTGGCTTATCACATAAAGCCACAGCAGCCATGTAGGCTCGTCTGACAAGCATGGACAAACGTGCGCAATGCAAACGACAACTTTGAATTGACCCGACCTGTCATGGCTTTGATGTGCAAGACGCCGTGCACCAATAAATCAAGACCTAGGGGGCAAGAACTCCACGCTGTGACTCAATGGGTAGCTACATATTCGCTGCGAAGCTGCGGACCCAAACCTTTTGTTGCCAACCCCCCCATGTGGCATCATGTGCTATGGGTCCTGGGTGCACAGCCTTTGCTGGCATATGCTGGCATGCAGTCGGTGGCACGGCGTGGTGCGATATGTGATGCTGTGCTGCCGGCACTCCCTTCCGTCCCCGCTCCTGCACTCAGAAAACAAAGCCCAACCCGAAACTCTATATCCTGGACACCCGTATACCCACCAAAGAGCAAGCCAAAGACCCGACACGAAGCAGAAGCCCGCAAACAAGGCCCCAATCCCGCACTAAGCCAACATGCCAACCCAACGCTGCAAACCCGCACTACATGCATGATTATACATGTGACCCAAACCCCGAAGGATCCACCATTTCCCCGCGGGGACTAACCGCACAGCCTACAGTGCCCTCCTGCCAATGCAGGCTTAAGCATGTAAAGGGACTCCCCCGCATTTTCGCGAAGACATATACAAAGTTTCGCAGAGCCGCGAAACAATGTCCCCGACAAAAGGCATGTCAATTACAGAAAGTAAGTGCAACTTGATCTTCGAGGCGGCAGTGTTGACGATGCGCGAAGTGCGCGGTGTTAGCGCGGCGGATATGGATGTACGATTCTGTCCGTCGACAAGATCACGGCGAGAGAGGATCGGATCCCACATGCACAAGACGCCTGTGATTGTAACCGCAGCTTAGTCTGCCCGCCCCAAAGTTGGGCGACCGAGACTGTCGCACACAGGATGGCGTTCGCCAGGCTCCACGGCCTGCCACTTCCTGTCAACCTGCCAAGTGGGGGTCAGGGAGGACCTATACGCCGGGTAGGTGTCTTGCACTGCGGTGATGGCATATCCAGTAGACGGTATTTCGGGAAGCCTTGTTCAACGAAGGTAAACCCGTAATCATGACCTCGAAGAGCTAAGGCAGCAGCTTCAGACGAACACAGAGCCTCGGCAACGGAAAACCCCACGTGCTCGAGCTCATGCAGACATGGCCTTCTGCCCTTCTGCGTCTTGTACTGAGTGGACGAAGCATAGCTGGACCGGAGGTCTAGAGGTCCACGAAGCTGTCGGGGATTAGGGCCAGGGTTTCGCTCGGTGTCGCTTCCAAACAAGAGCAACAGTTTTAACCAACGCGATGCAAGCTCAGGAACCCTAGCAGCAACACAGACCACATCACACTTGTGCGGGTCTTCGTAAGGTCCTCGAGCCAGAGCTGCGCTTCCAGCGTGTAGGGCAAGGCACTCCGAAGAATCCGTGTGATAGCCTCGCCGCTACATCGGCCCTTTGCCGCAGACTCCAAGAGAACCCGGCTATCGTTGATGTGCACCGGCCTGGCAAGCCTGTGGCGGAGAAACTCCTGGAACTCAAGAGAGTCCTGCAATTCACTGATGCATTCTGGGTCGCCGCGGAAAGCCCGAAGGGTTGGCTGCGGGGAGTCAGGAGGACTAGACCCAGTACACCCATTCAGTTCTCGAGCAGACTCGAGCTGAAAAGATACAGGCAGCGCGTTGCAAACGCCGTGCACAATATTGGCAGCTGGCAGCTCCCGAGGCAACATGCCGAAGCACTGGCCAGGGCTGCCAAAGGAACAACAAGTCGTACCAACAAGAAGCGCCAAAGACACGGCTTGCGCTGGGCTTGCATCGACGAGTAAACTCCTCGACAGTTCGGGAGCTCAGGGTACCCTGAATGCTCAAATGAGGCCCGCAGTGGCAAGGACCCCCAAGTTCAGCGATCCAAGGCTTCAAGGAGGGGCTTCTTGAATGCAAAACCGAAGTTGCAGCGCAGCAAACGAGCCTGCTGAGCACAGCCCCTGCACCAATCAAGACGTTGAAGCAACGAAGGTAGAACATCAAGCTCGAACCAGGTTAGGACAATGCTTACGAGGAAAGCAAGTCGTCAAGCCAATCTGTTGTTCTCGGCTACGGTGGGGGTGGGGTGACCAGGATCGTGGAAGGGCATGATCGTGATCGTCGTCTTGGTCGTCCGAATGGCGAGGCACAAGGTGCCAGTCGCGCACAGTACGCTGCAAAGCCAATCCGGTCAGCTCCCGGAACTTTTTGTCATCAAGCAAGTCCTCGAATCGTAGCCTGCCAAGGTTGGTGCCCCACTGGGGTTGGAAGGTCAGCCCTGCTTGCTTATGACACTCAGCCCGACACTCAGCCCACATTCCAAGCTCGTCGAACACCTCGATGCAATCCGACGTCTAAGCTGCAAGGCCTGGACGGCCCAAACACAGCGGCATCCAAGCCCGGCCCGCGCAACGAAGCAGCAGCAGCCTCCTCCTCAAGTTTGGTGCAAAGCCCCGCTGCTCAGGGTGCCACCAGGCCTGCTTGACCACACAGCGGGAGAGGGGAGCCCCGCCCCGCAGATACCAGTAGCATCGGCGGATCATCGGCGCAGAAAAAGGTGGCAGAACAGCGGCGTCAACCAAACCAAACATTACAGCTCGCAAAGAGATCGGCGAGATAAGCCGGATAAGCCAATCATCCGATCGGAAGGGCTGCGCGTCGCATCTTGAAAGCAGTGGTTGAGCAACGCCAACGCGGGCCGTCGAAACAGCAGGGCGTGAACCCAAAGATCGACAGTGATGAAAGTAGTGCAGGGGACACGGTGCCTTAGATACACATGATGACCGTCAGGGTCATCAGTGAACCAAGCCGGCGGCGAGGCTCCGAAATGATAGTTGCGAGGCCGCCCAGCTCAGCACCGAGAAAAGTGCCGCACTCCTCGTAGTGCCTCCTTCTGCCAGGGCCAGGGTGTTGTGCACGGTGCAGATGCTGGTATACGCCCACTCTGACCTGGTGCGCGTCCCTGGTGGGCGTCTTGTGCTTCAGATCTTTGAAGGAACCTTTTTGCAAGGGTATGTGACCGCACATTGCCAGCTGCTCAATTGAATTCCCGCGTCGGAACGGACGTCTGTAGCAAGCGAATTCACCAGGACGCACGGAGAGAGCAAGCTGAGCTAGATTAAAATGTCGATTGTTGCGCAATTCCGACCGCCATAATATCTCCCATCCCCAGGCTACTTAAAAAAGCATTCAAAAGCCCGAAAGCGTTCTACCTCATGAGGCTGGAAGACGGTGTGCAAAGTATTGATACCAGCCCCGAGGAATGGAACAACACCGGTATAATACATCTCGCTCAAGCCTTCGGCGCATACGCTCATGAAATCATGAAATGATCGGCCTCAGGATGCGTGCAGCAAGCAAAGGATCGCGGGTTGAGGGGGCGAGTGAAACTGCTGTGCTTTCTAGACCGAGAGAAAAATCATAGCTGGGCTTAGTACAAGACGATCATGGGACAAAAAGCACTTACGGTTTCACTAGCAACAGCCTCCGCAGCCGGTATCAACCGACCGGCCTCCGCAGCGTCCCACTTTGCCGCCAAGGCCACCAATTGGATGCGGTCCCCGTGCACCTTCGCGGCTGGCAAACTGGGCCGCTCGGAAGGATCATTTCTGAATGCATCGGGGTCCTTTGCGCGATATGATCTGCAAGGTAAAGAGTCGGTGCGAAGGAGGGTCGCAGAGGCGACTTCAAACGATCAGCCAACAAAAAGTTTCCAACTCAATCCTGACGGCAGCATTGGCACCTGGAAGGTCCTAATGTCGCTCGCTATTGATGTGGCCAAAAGGAGCAAGGGTAGCAGCAGGGTCGTGAACAAAGGTGCGAAGTTCATCATCAGACGTGCGAACAAACTGCGAAGGAAGACCCTTCCTTGGCAAGAACCGCTACGACCAAGCTGACTCCTATCAAAACGGCACAAATATCAAAGCGGCACAAATAGCCAACCTGACCACTGATGGCGCCACACGATGGCGCTGATGCTCGAAAATGTTCCTTGCCGCTTCTTCCGGGAGCACGCGGCCGCAACATAGGAGGCGCTCGTCCAGGTTATGCTCAGCCCAGCCACCGAGGTTGAAACAAAAGACGACGCTCATGTCTTATGTCTGCCAACACGAGGGGGTGGCCAGTGGGCCTGCGCAGGGGCAACCGCAATCGCACAGCACACCAAATGCCACCACGACTTGCGCACCTCAGGAGACGGAGCCTTGGCTAGCCCATCCCTAGGACCGGGTCCGAATGCTAAGCCCAGCAACCTGCAAAGTAAGTTCTTCAATTGGGTCGGGAACCCCACTCATTCACGGTATTTGGCAATCGCCAGTGCCCCTTATGCCAAGCAACTGGACCTCCCAGCCGACCCTCCAGTAGCTGGCTGCCCAGCAGTGAAGAAAATTCCCGGGCCCGTCGAAGCATGCCAGATAAAACCAAGCCGGCAAGGGCAATCCTGCAGCAGAATCCGAAGCAGCAGCTCACCAAGGTGAGCAAAACTATAGCGGTGCACAGCCTAAGCAACTGGCCCAAGAGCGAGCCTCCCGAATGAATTCGGACAAGGACCACAAGAGCCCGAGAAGCTGAGGCACAGATGCGATTGCCCTCCGTGTGGACATGCTTGTGATTTCAGACGTCTTGAACTGTCAAACATCAAAGACATTCTGTTTTATTAAAACAAGTCTTTACCAAACACTGCTATGTTGATGTGGCATTTCCGCATCTTCTTGTGACCGAAAGTCAATGAACGACTGTTTACTGCCAGAATGATCTGAAATTTATGATAGTAAGTGGTGGTTAAGTTTCATGCCAACTTCACATCAAAATGCATAGAATGTATCATTTGAAGCTTGGTTGGGAAGTCGACATAGTTGAAGTTCAATATTGAACATCAAATATTGGACGGGTGCAGTACGCATCTAAGACTTAACTTACTAGTTACTGGTCGATAACTGCACAGCCCAAAAGCTGTGTAAATGCTGTATGCTAGGCACATACTCGTCACTAGTCCAACATTCGACTTTCCGCTAACGAGCAACTTGCACAAACCGAAGCGCGTTCTTGTCAAACGCCATGCGAGCAATTGAAAAAACTTTGGATAAACAATCATATCGTTGATGTAGTATTCAAGGTGTATTTTACAAAATAATTTGTTCTGATTGAGCCGTGAACTCCCAACTCATTTTTTTCAAGCCCCGATGTGGAGGGCATACAGCCCCATAAGGTAGTAGATGATCAGGACAAGCTGGAGTTGGACGTCGATTTGAGTCATTTGTTGTGCTTGGATCGGGGCATCGCCAAGAGAGCAAGGCTGGTGCGAATACTGCATTTGTTGTGCACGGGGCTGCAAACCATCAGGCAGTTTCTGCAATCTCGCAGCTTCGCAGGTTGTCCGGGCTCGTGGGCACCCTTCCAGCCCAAGCAGCGAAGAATTCCCTGAAAACGCTACGAAAGTAAGACATCCAAGAAGGCGGCAGCACCCCAGCTCCAGGATGGCAATCATCAGGTAGCTGTCCATCCTACACCGGACGTGGCTGAACTGTTCTCGGAGCAAGAAGCTAGCCCCAAGGCCAAGAGAGCTCAAGGCGCACTTGCTGGTGGTGAGTTCGGTCAAATCCCGGACATCCTGAAAATCATGTACCACTCATTCAGTACCATTCAGTAGCACCTTGGTGCCAACAAAAACTATTTGCATCATGTGCCTCTCGATAAAGCATGAACTGCTTCACGCGCATATCCTGCTCTTGGTATTCTCGCCTTGCGTGCAGAATTCATGGGTTTCTAAAACTATCGCATCCGTTTCCTGGGGCCCTCACCACTGCCGTAGAACTTGGTCGAACATGAAGTTCCCTCGGTTGTAGCCTAAGCGGGAAACTACGTGCCCAAAGACTCGTGCCAGTGCACAGATGTGCGCAGGTCGCTTCTCGCAGGAACACTGTTCCTCGGGTCTCGTATTTGTCGGAGTCTTGCCGTCGAAACTATGTCTTTTTGGCTCGAGCTCTCACCCACGTGCTTGCTTTAACTATTGCTGAAATGTGCCGTGCATTTCTCTGGCCCAAGGGCAGGGCCGAACAGTTCTTCGACGCCATCTGTAATGGACATGATTTGCAAAGCTTGCAATTTGCAAGGCTTGCAACTATGTACAACAAGGCCCCAACAGGCTGCGCCTACTTTGAGAAGAGCCTGAGACGCAGCGACGCAAACCTGTCTTACCCCTGACGGCGGGGCACAGCAAGAGAGTTCACTCTTAACCCGCTGTCTTTGCGCTTTGACCAACCGGCCTGAATTCAAGAGTCTCCTGCGGAGGCCTTTGGATTGGCATAAGGGGAGCTTGACGAGCAACCGTGTGATTCGAGCTGTCCAAAGCTTGTGGTCGAGACTCATTGGTGAAAATGTGTTAATAACTTGATGATCTTTAATTGGACTTTAGATATTTGAGAATTGAGAACTACTGATTCGGGCTTACATGTTGGCCTTCGGTATGCACAAGTATGCAAGCAATGCCCAATGTTAAATAGTTGTGAAACAGCATGACCACATGTTTGTGGTGATGCCTTTCCGTCTTCATTCCTCAGTTTGCCTTCCTTGCGCTTCGATCCCATCAGGGTGCCTCGGGGGCAAAACAGCAACATGCCGGAATGTCATGACAAGCCAACCAGATTCAACAAGATATCACCACAAACCGAACTTCGGAACATGGCTTCCAACACTTCGCACTCTGAGGGTGATGCGCGGCATCCAAGGCGGCCGCATCAGCTTCTGCATCCTGGCAGGAATGCATGAAAATGCAGAAACGCCGGCAGTCGCTCTCGCTACGACGTGCATCTTCGTATCAATACAACTGGTGCATGCTCGCAACAGTACTTTGGGTAACATCAAGCGAGACTGCAAAGCTGAGTCTTGCCTCAGTCCGCTCCGCAGCATCTTCCGGCACATCCGGGCTTTCAAGCTCGTGGGCATCGGGAAGAGGACCGGCGATGTCCTCCTGATTCTTTCAGCATGCAAGTCGGCAGCCGCGCAAGAGGACGGATCACCAACGGAGAGACGAACTATGCCAAGATTTTGCGCATGCACGGGTCTTAAACCCGGGCACATTTGCGCCTCGCTCAAACACCGGACCTGCTGCACGCATCCATGCAGGCTCCAGTATGTTCCGGTACTCCTTCATGCTTTTCAATTAATCGAAAGCGAAACGCAAGATTCACGAATAACAGCAGAGCAATGCTGGTTCCGGAGTGGCAGCTCGGTGCACTCCTCAGGCGAGCTGGCTGCTACGTCAGGAACCACGTTTGTCACGGGCCGCGTCGCTTGGGATTCGTCATCGTTGTCATAATTTCGATATTTCGAAGTTTTTGACCTACATCAAGGCCTTCTGTTTTGGATACTGTGTGGAATCACAAGATGCAACCACTGCACTTGTAAGACCGTAGACTAGCCGACTAGCCCGTTCCACTCAGGTTGTAGGAGTTTGTGGAGTTGGGCATCACCAACACAACTGGTGACGTCACCGCATTCCTGGCGATTCTGCTGAAGTCGACGTTCAAGGCCCCAACTTCCTCCCACACGTCGACCAATTCAGAATGAAAACAGGCATAATTTGCATCCAGCAAGCTTTCCGACGTCGGCTGAATGCTCAGCAGCTATGCATGGATTCCCCAACAAAAGGACGTCCGGCGTCGAGAAATTGCCAGGGATTCGGGAGTTTGCAACGGGTCCAAGGCCTTGCCAAAACTTGCCCCTGCTTTCGAGCACTGGTGGTTCCACCGGACAGCAGTCTTTCTAATCTATTGTTCAGAAGCATGACATATGAAGGTAAGCTCCGGGCCTCTAGCTCCAAGTCCTGGGAGTCCGTTTGTGCTGCCTGCCACAAGCACGATAAGACAAGTGAAGTGTCACTTGTCTGAAGCTGCGCAGCTGCAGCCGGCCGCCTTGACTCTTTCCGAGCGCTCTCGCAACAATGCATCCATCTCTTCCAAGATCACCTGTCAAATAAACATGTTGCGAAGCAGATTTCATTTGAAAGAGTTTGATCATGTTGCTAGAAAAGCTTGCGCCTCCTGCTGATCTTTGCTGACACCTTGTAGTTTCATTCGATTGATCGCCTGCAACAGCGTCCATTTACTTGCCCCCAAATGAGACTGACAAGACTCAAGTTCACAAGAGAGGCCCGGCAAGAATAGCCGGACAGCACCTTGTCGCGCAAGCCTTTCATTGCATGCTGCTTGAGTTTGTCGACCTTGCAGAGCCGATGCACAACAACTCAAAAGCTTCGCCCAAACTAATCGACGTAGTGTAAGCCTGGTTTTCTCCTTTTTCGCAATTGTGTGGCCATGCTTCCATGTGAAGACTCCGGAAGCATGCAGTGTACACCCCTTGAGACCTGGAGGTCGATGGTGACAATCAATGGGGTTGTCCTTCGGTGATCCTCTTTTCTGTCATCGCCTTTCCCACACAAGAACAAACCGTCACACCTGTTCTTGTTTCCTTCGCTTGACCTCCGTCGTCACCTATTTAACATAGTACCTGTATCTCCTTGCTCGTTCGTTTGTTCCAGCAATATAGAAGCCGGGTTACTACCGTCCCCATCACAACGCAGCAAATATGCAACCACCAACATTTCTCACGAACCGTAGATGCGCTCAGCAAAACCTTCTCCGGGAGAATAAGCAATTTCGATGGGGCCACGATTGTAGCGGTCTGCTGTGTTTATCTTAGCAACAGCAGAGCAAAGCGCAGAACATGTTTGCCGCAAAGCGAAAAGTCAAGGCTCAGTGGGCCCACTTGTCGGGCCGAAAGGTGCCACGGCACGTGGCGTCAGACAACATGGCCAAATGCGTAAGCTAAGGTATGCGTACCTTTCACACTGGTCTAAGTTTTCTTTGGCTCATGATGTCTGAGAACGTAGGGTCACACGGGGCTGCTGTAGCCACTCGTGGAGTGTCTGCTGAAGCTCTTTAGTGGCCTTCGTTAGCCCGTCAGCCCACATGAGAAAAGTAGGAACCCAATGGAAATTGTTACCGGGAACCACTTCTTGGATAGCTCGAATGTTGACTAGAGACCGCTTGTCCGTTAAGTTTGGGCTGTCCGAGATAACGCAGTCATAAAGAGACTTGGCATCCGTCACGGCTAGCTGGGTGAGTTTCGGAGTCACCTTGTGGGCCGGCTCGTTGTACAAGAGCTCGCAGAGGAACATGTTCACGTAGGCCCCTCTGTCGCACCCTTCATCGGCGGCAGATGCCTCGGCAGCGAGGGTGCTTCTGCACACACGTTGTGTCCTGCTGGACCTCCAATCCAGAAGCATCGCCGGCGCCGGTTTCTGGAGCACGCTTGGCCCACAAAGCAAGACCAAAACGCCGCACTGAGAACGGCAGTTCTCGGCATTGGCCCAGCTTGCGTCGCTGAACGTCAAAATGACGCTTGCCTTGGAGACGGGCACGTCGGGGATCACAAAGCCGTCCTCCTTCGTAGAAGAAGCGAAGTCCACCGCCTCGTAGAGGGCCTTTAAGTCAGCAACTGTTGTAGCGCCTCCGTGGTTCGAGAGGCTGTTCACTGCTGAGAGCTCTGGTCGACTCTGTCCTGCTACCCACTGAAGGCAGCCGGTCACGCTGCGAAACTCCCGCCCTTTGTTCCGAGGAGAGGGGCTCATCCAACTTGCTGCCGCGGGGAATTTTCCCGGAAGCCATGCCAGTGATGAACTCCTTCTGGCAGACGTGAAGAAAGTGCCTCCCGTTGGCCCGCTGTTTCAGGGTGATCTGCTTCCCTTTGAAAGTCACCGTCCGGCCGACCTCGAAGTTCTGGAGCGCGCCCCACTTGAAGGCGTTGTGGACCTCGGTAATGTCGTAGTCCAGGCGGTAGGCTCCCAAGAAGTCGTCGACGTAGACGATGATGATGGAGATCAGCTGGCCTGAGGAGTCAAACTATAAGAAAACCATGCGGTCGAAGGAGTGCTGTCGGTAGCCGAGGTCGGTGAGTCGTCTCACCACGGTCAAGGACCAGAGTCTCGGCGCGTTGCTCAAGCCGTAGATGTTAGTGCACACCAAGTACAAGGGCGCCTTCCAGCAGGAGGTCAGCTCGGTGACGCCGTCGTTGGGCGGCAGGATGTAGAGTGGAAGATCTCTTTCGGCGTCGGAGAGATCCCCTTGGAGGAAAGCCGTGGAGGCGTCTCCTGACCAGCCGCGCCAATGTTTCTTGGACGTGCCGAACTCGCCGTTGCTGCCGGCCGTCAGGACGATGAACAACACGTGCTCCGAAGTCCTGTTTGGTGTGGCGCACTCGCGGTTTAGCCGATATATGTCTGGGTCTTTGTGGCCCAAAGCCACAACTCTGCATTTAGCAGATAACGGCCCCAGACCCTTGCTCTTATCCCGAAAGCAGCTCCGGGTGCGAAGGATGCGCTTGCACAAGACGCGGTCACGGAGCACCTTCTGGGCCTCTGCGTGATTGAGAGGCTTGACAGAGCCCCATTCTTCCCAGCTTCTGGCCTCCTTCTCGACTGCCTGCACGTATGCCTTGATCTCGTTGGTTCCGTAGTTCCAAAAGAAGACCCCGAAGGAGGAGGTACTGGCACAGAAGCAGCAGCTTGTGAAAGAAGCCCAGTCTCTCCCGGTTGTGGTGTCTCCATCTCGAGGTCAGAGGCGTAGGCTGCAGAGTCCAAGCCGAAAGGTGCTGACTCCCAACCTGTTTCCAAAGGCGTCTGTGGAGCTTGTGGTACTGGAGGTTCCGGAAGTCCTTCTGGTACTTGTAGTGGTAGTTCCTGTGGTTCGTGCGGTGGCTCAGGAACTGGCTCTGGAACCGGAGGTTCTGGAAGTCCTTGTGGTACTTCTGGTGGTAGTTCGTGTGGTT